CATGGAAAAGCAAAGAAATGAAAGTAGCCAACACAATTTTAAAAAAGAACAGAGATGCAGGACTCATATGAGCCCACTTCAAGATAGCATGCACTTATGTAATCAAAATAATGTAGTACTCCAAAAAGACACACAGATCAGTGGTACAGAATACAGAATCAAGAAAGAAATCCTTACTATTTGACCAGTGAACCTTTACAAAGTTGCAAAAGGAATTAAATTGATAAAGCATACTCTTTTCAATAAAAGGTGCTGGAATAACTCAACATTCAAATGTGGAAACAAATTGGCAAATAAATGAAAAACTATGACCCATCTCATAACCAAAAAAATAATAATTCAAAATGGACCAAAGACTTAAATGCAAAATGCATAACTTTAAAGCTTATAAAAAAAATCATAAGTAAAACTCTTTGTCGCCTTGGTTAGTCAAAAATTTCTTAGGTATGATACCAAAAGCATGGTTCATAAAAGAAAACATTGGTAAGTTGAGCTCCATCATTCTTAGAAATGTTTGCTCTGTGAAAGAAACTACTAAGAGGACAAGAAGACAAACCACAGACTGAGAAAATACTCAGAAATTGCACATTTGACAATGAATTTGTATCTAGAATGTATAAAGGACTCCCCTGAATGGACAATATTGAAAACAATCATTTTGATAAAACTTTTGAACTCTTTTACTAAATTTGATACAGGGATGGGAAAAAAAGCACAAAGTGGATGCTCACCGTAATTAGTCACTGGGAAAGTGCAAATTACTATACACTGAGGGACCACTGCACCCTCACACAACTATCTGCACTTCCATCAGACTAACATCTTCTTGACTGTGACTCAGACTTCGCTGCCTGTCTTGAGTTTGCCACATGAATCCAGATGCACCTCTTCCACTCCCATTACCTGCCAGCTCCTACTGATCCTTTAAGTCTCAACTCAGGCACCAAGAGGTCTGCCCTCGAGTACTATTCTCTCTCTACCACCCGAGCCTTACCTGCGGCCTGTGCACTGTGCCACAGATGTCAGGCTCCCCACTGCACATATACGGTGTAAATCAACTGCATTGTGCTTGTTTATTTAGTTAAAGGTTTTAATACCCTCAACTGTAACTTCTAGGAAATCAGAGATTCTGTCTTCTGCAAGGTTATATCCCCAGGAATTAGCACATTCCGAAGAATGCTGAATGAATGAATAAATACAACAAGGGAAGTCCTGTGATCCCTCATCAAATTTCAGCATGTACTTGATCCACCATGGCCCAAAGTCACCCTGAAGTTTTCATTGCTGTCAAGAAAGCCACCGTTACTCATGTGTAGGTTTAATCATTCTTTAAAATTAAAAAAAAAAATCTCAGCCAGCTGTGGTAGTATACACCTATAATACCAGCACTCTTGGAGGCAGGGGCAGAAAAATCAAAAGTTTGATCTCAGCTGGGCAACTTAATAACTTGGTGAGACCCTATCTCAAAAACAACAGCAACAACACACAAACCAAAGATAAGTATGAAAAACAGAAAAAAATGGCTGGGGATGTAGCTCAGTGCAAAGGTTTTGGGTTCAATTCCAGTACTACAAAACACAACAAATCAAAACTTCTCTTTCTGTCATTATAGAAGACTTGTCTCTCTAGGTAATTTGCTCAGCTGACCAAGCTGGACACCTGGACTCCATGTTCTTACCCTAAGCCTTACCACTTACAGTGTCTAAATGATGACCATGTATTTCCAACTGCACTTTAGCTCTGTGGAAAGAAGCTGTGTCAGACATTACGTGGCGAACACAGCTCCAACAGTCCCATCCTCTATAAGGCACCCATTTCTAACAGCATGGTAAAGGTCTGCTCCCATATAAGCCCCTGGTCAGTTCAAGTCACAGTTTTCTCAGCAAAGTGGAGAACATTTGTGTGTGTGTGTGTGGGGGGGTATATTTGATTCCCTTTATCTGCCTGTGGCCTGAACCCAGCAGCCATGCCAGCCCCTGCCCCATCCTGCAGGGTTCAGTTACAAAAGGTGGAGATACTAGGCTGTATTAGCATCATGGTTATACAGGTGCTTGCCTAGGTTTCATTGCCTTATGTATCATTTAGGATTAATACTGAGCTGCAGGTGTAGCTCGGCAGTGTGGCATTTGCCTAATACTCCTGAAGCCCTCGGTTTGATTCTCAACACTTAAAAAAAGAAAAAGAAGTATTTTTGAGAGCATGAGTACCATGACTTATTACTATATTTATAACAATGTTATGAGTATGGTGAGTATATCAAAAGCTTTATAAATATGACTACTAAGATAATAGGTTTAAAATTCACGCCAAGTTTCTTCCTTTGTCTACCGTATACCTGTCTCTTAAGGTGAAGGTAGCTGACATCAGTTACCTTGAGATCAGAGGATTTCTCACAAGACCTTAAGGAAATTACAGAACTCGTGCAGCTTTGTTATTTTTCTCTGTGAAACAGGACAAGGCTACCCAAACTATGCTTGGACTATTAGGAACAAAAAGACAACACACAGAAATCTAGTTAGCGCCAGTGTTATCAGGAAGGTAGAAGGTGCTTTACAGGTTTATTTATTGAAAACACTGAGGTGGGAAACTTTGTGTATTTCTACTTTAATATCTTTTGCCTTTAGTAGGAGAAAAAGAAAGGAAGGAAGGAAAAAAGAAACAGAGAGAGAGAAAATAAAAACCGACCTCCCCAGGGGAAAATGAAGCTCATCTCAGGATTGTTACATCAATAACCCTTAAGAGAGATGTTAAACTGTCATGTCATCTCCATGATAGATAAATCAGGGAGAAACTGTCCGAAGCAGGCTCAAGCCACATCCCTGAAAATAATGCAGTGAACATCCTGCAATTAATTGAGGTAAAGAATTATCCTTTATTGTGGTCTGGTGGCAATGTGCCAATTTAAAAACCACGCACAATGGTTTATGCAAGAGGGCTTTCTTTTCTTTCCTTCTCTCCTTCCTTCCTTCTCCCCCCTCCCCTTTTTCCCTCATCTCTTGTTGGTTGACACACAGTTGGTTGACACTACTGTTTACTGCTTCAGCCTAGCCAAGTCTATTCTCAGAGCTCGACTTCATATAGCAGTTGATATTAATTCAAATGTGAAATCTGGGGAAATGTGTGTCCAGCATTCTGTGTGGATCCTTAGCTGAGTGTGAAAAGTGATCAGCTTTGAGCTCATCTTACTGAAAGATCTGCCTGCTGCCAGACAAAGAGAAGGTTCCCTTGGGAAAGGACCAAGCACTCAGAGTGGACTAAGGAAAGGGAGAAGACGTGCTCCCTGCAGAAGGGGGCACAGCTACTGAGGCTGTTTTTGCCAAGTGCAAAGTTTCCACCCCTGGAAAGTGCCGACCGTGAGTGAAATCAATGCCGAGGGGCAGGTCAGGGA